CAAAACTCCAAGACTCACTGGATGCGGATACAACTACTGCCCGCAGCAAGGGCCCTGGATGGCCATGCCTGCCTTCTGCGAGCGGGGCGCGGCCAGCAACAGCGGCCAAGGGTTGGGCCGAAGGGGAAGGATGCGAGAGTAACACTTTGAAAGTTCCTCATCCTCACTCTGCGGGTTGACTGCATGTCCTCTGCTCAGCGCTGCCCTCCCACCGCCCACGCCACCATGTCACGACAGGGCGTCTCTAAACAGCAGGCCCCCGTCCTCTTGATCCTCCACCTCCTCCTCCTCTTCCTCCTCCTCTTCCTCCTCCTCCTCCTCCTCCTCCTCATCCTCGTTCCCCGCCTCCTCCCATTCCTCCTATCCTTCACATGCTCACCCAGGTCATCCTCCTTCACCTCCTCTGCCTCATACTCCTCCTCCTTGGGTCTCGACTAAAGATGGTTAAAACATGTGGCGAAAGAACAGCACCCACCCCAAACATGAAATGTCTTTGTTTTTGAATGCGCGGTCCCAGGAAATCCCGACCCTTTCCTCAGAGCCGGTTTTTCATCCTGAGTCGCTGTTTTGACAGTCCCCGGGCCCGGCGAAGGCCCCCAGAGGCAGAACATTGCCAAAAACCTCCCACAGTGCTTTTTCACGACGCGAGCATGTCTCGGCACCGTCGGGGAAGCGGAGAAATCAAGGGAGGCTGGTAAAGCGAGGACCGTGGGATCCCTTCGCATCCGTGTCGCCAACGCCCATCAGGCAGGACCCCTTCCTCTTCCTCCTCTTCCTCCTCTTCCTCCTTCGCGAACCTCGGACGCAGATAAAAAAGGCACAGAGGGGTACTTTTCGGTCCGCACACCATCCCTCTGGTAGGTGCGCCCACCGCAAACCTAGCTCCCTAATTCTATCTCAGTCGGGGCTAGGAAGGGGCAGCGCTCATGACGTGGTACTACAGAATACCACTGAGCAAGAAATGCATTCAATCTGAAGCAGACTGGCACTTGCGATCGTACTCTCAAGAGTTGAACTAGTGAGTGAGAGGCTGTGTGATCAACATCCCCGGCCACCAGCAGTGACCCCCGTGTCTACAGACACTGGATTGCTGCGAACCGGGACCTGTCGGCCTGGTCCCCGCTTAGAAACACCGTAACAATGTAATCATGGGATGCTCCATCGCCACGGCAACAGCAACGTCGTGCACACACAAGACCACATAACGACAAAGTAGCTGTCTGCAAGCCTGGAAACACACGAATTTCAATCGATTGGATATGTAACCCTGCCATGCGCGTGCCCGGAACCGAGCACGTGCAGACGAATTCTGACGTCCACAGAGGACCAGCTTCCTGAGCGTCCTTCTAAGGCCTCCGACGCCTTTGTGCAATACGTAGAGTTCTGGAACTCTCGATCCCAGGTATTCGATGTTTCAAGACTCGGATCCCGAAAGCCCTGACCCTTTCTTCAGGGACGGCGTTCCATCCCGAATCGTTTTTGACTGTCCTGGGGCCTCGCGAGGGCCCCCCGAGGCAGCGAACAGCCAAAAACCTCCCGTCGCCATGCTTTCGCGACGCAAGAATATCTGAGACCCCGTGCTTCGAATGCATGTCGCGGCGTGGGTTTTTTTCCGTTGGTCTCCGGAGGCCCAAGCTCCGGGCACTTGGCCACATTTGGCCCCTCCTCCTCCTCCTCCTCCTCCTCCTCCTCCTCCGCCTCCTCCTCATCCTCCTCCTCCACCTCCCCCTCCTCCTCCTCCTCCTCCTCCTCCTCCTCCTCCGCCTCCTCCTCCTCCTCGTCCTCCTCCCCCGCCTCCGCCTCCGCCTCCTCCTCCTCCTCCTCCCCGCCTCCTCCCTTCCTCTCTTCCTCCTCCTCCTCCTCCTCCTCCTCCTCCTCCTCCTCCTCCTTCTCCTCCTCCTCCCCCTACCGAGAGAGTGGGCAATCGCCACAGCTTCTTCGGTGGTGGCTGGCCTTTTGAGGCGGCCCTGCGCCCGCAGACTCCGACGGGGGGCCCGAGAAGCAGAGGCAGGAGGGCCCCGAGCACCTGGGGTGGCGGGCTGCGGCCCCGGTGGCGCGCCAGGAGGAGCTGCAGCAGCTGGGGGAAGGCAGAGAGGGAGAAAAGGGACGAGGAGAGCGAGGAGGGGGGGGGGGGGGGAGGAGCGCGAGGAGCAGGAGGAGGGTGGGGAGCAGGAGGGAGGAGGGGGGCGGGGAGGGGCAGAGGCCGGCAAGAGGACGGGCCTCGAGACACCGGGCAGCGGCGACGCAGGCTGGCCGCACCCCGCGGGGGAGGGGGCTGCCAGCGCAGGGGGCGCGCTGCGGAGGCGGGGCCCTGCCGTCGGCAGCGCCCGCCCCCGCCGAGGGCTCCAACCGCAGAGGGCCCACAGGGCCCTCCCGCCCCCCCCTCCCCCCCTGCGCAGCGCTCGCCGCCGAGGGCGCTCCGGCCGCCGAGAGGGCTCCTGCCGCCCCAAGCCCGTGCAAACGAGGCGCTGGCCAGGCGGCCTCACACCGCCGACGTCCTGCGCCGGCTCGCGCGGGAGTAGCCGACCTTTGAGGCACTCCTCCCCCTCCGCGCGGCGCGCGGGGGAGGAGGAGGCGGAGGAGGAGGAGGAGGAGGAGGAGGAGGAGGAGGAGGAGGCGGAGACGGAGGCGGATGAGGAGGCGGAGGAGGAGGCGGAGGAGGAGAGGAGCAGGAGGAGGAGGAGAGGAGCTGAGGAGGAGAGGAGGAGGATGAGGATGAAGGGGCTGAGGAAGAGAAGGAAGAGGAGGGGGATACAGGATGAGGAGGCGGGGAGGAGATGAGGATGCGGAGGAGGAGGAGGGAGGAGAGGAGGAGGATAAGGAGAGGAGGACGAGGCGGAGGAGGAGGCGGAGGAGGAGGAGGAGGCGGAGGAGGAGGAGGAGGAATAGAAGGATGAGCTCTCACACCCGTTCGTGCGCTTTTCGCGATAGCTATATCGCCCGTGACCGGCCTCACTGCCTGGTTGGGTCCTTCGTCAGGCTAATTATTCGACGTTTCGACACTGGGCGGAGGGGGGAGGAGGGGGTTTGGCCTTGGACTCCTTGGACCTCTGCTTAGTGCGACTGTTTGGGACCGTGCGTCCTATGGGGGAGACCCCATCTGCTCGAAACGGGCACCAGAAACAGCCAAGATCTATTCTGGGGGGGGAAGGGGGTGCAAGGGCCCGCGCCGATCGGCAAAACAATGAATGAAACAAAAGCTCACGATTGGAAACCTCGTCCTCCTCCTCTTCCACCTCCTCCTCCTCCTCGTCCTCCTCCTCCTCCTCCTCCTCCTCCTCCTCCTCCTCCTCCTCCTCCTCCTCCTCCCCCCTCCCCCTCTTCCTCCTCCTCCTCCTACCTCCTCTTCCACCCCTCCTCCTCCTCCTCCCTCCTCCTCCTCCAAATCCACCTCCCCTCCTCTCCTCCTCCCTCCTCCTCCTCCTCCCTCTTCCACCTCCTCCTCTTCCTCCTCCTCTCCACCTCCCCTCCTCCACCGCCTCCGCAACCTCGCTCCTCCTCCTCCTCCTCCTCCTCTACACACACCTCCTCCACCTGCTCCTCCCTCCTCCTCCTCCCTCCTCCTCCTGCTCCTTCCTCCTCCTCGCTACTCCTCCTCCTCCTCCTCCCCGCCTCGCCACCTCCTCCCCCTCATCCCTCCTCTCCTCGCTCCTCCTCTCCTCCTCCTCCTCATCATCATCAACATCATCCCTCCTCGTCCTCCTCGTCCTCCTCGTCCTCCTCGCTTCCTCGCCTCCCGAACCTTCCTCCTCCACCCGCCTCCTCTTCTTACCTCCTCCTCCTCCTCCTCATCCTCCTCCTCCTCCTCCTCCTCCCCCCCCCCCTCCGCCTCCTCCTCCTCCTCCTCCTCCTCCTCCTCCTCCTCCTCCTCCTCCTCCTCCTTCCATTGGACACATCAGGACGTGGCGTGTCTGGGCACTCTGCGCAGCCGCCGGCCACGGCGCGCCACACCCGAAGCGCCCAGACATGCTCACGCCGATCGCGCACAGTCCCCGCTCTTCTCGGCCCCCTCGGGAGCCCCTCGCCGGCCGGCGCTGGGACCGTCCATAGACGACTGACGATAAAACTCCTCCTCCTCCTCCTCCTCCTCCTCCGGCGATCCAGGCAGCAAAGATCGCGACGGTCTGCTTCTGGCATGTTCCAGGGCGGCATCTCGGACGAGACAGAGCGTGTTTTTTCTTTTTTATATAAAAGATTCTGGCAATTTTACTTGCACGGCGCTCGCCCCCTGCCCCCCGCCCCTCTTCGAACGAATACGGTGAGGGCACTGGATAAGGAACCATTGGATAAAGGATCCAGGGTCTGGAAGCTGGTGGAACGCCAATCGTGTGTTGGCCATGGTCTCACCGCCGCCCTCATCAGATAAGGAATCCTCCGGGGTCTGGAGTCTTAAGACACATTTCTTAACGAACGCCCCCACCGTCGTAGCGTGCAAATGCCTTTCAACTTGTGTGATCTCCGCACGCGCAAGTCGTTGGCGGCTTGCCTGAGGTTCAGCCCCTCCCCTCACCGTCCATGAAAGTAATCTTGCCGGGGTCTAACAAGAACAGGCTAATAGCGAACACTCGTGCCACATTCATCGGTCAACGCCTCCCCCTCCCCTCAATGTTCAAGTTAGCGGTGGGTCTGATGAGTTGCACTTCGACCGCAGTCTCCTCCGCGCGTGTCAACTTTAAAGTCGGGGGAAGGGAGCAGTGGTCATGAATTGTTTCCCCGTGCCGTACGTAGAGGCCTCCTAGATGGGGACGGAAAAGATGGGGTCGGAGGACCGCGCCGCATCGCCGATACATCGGTGATGCATCGGCGAGGCACCGGCGATGCACTGGCGATACACCCGCGATCGGCGATGCATCGGCGACGTCGACGTGAATCCAATCGGGCTGCACATCGAAACGCATCGGCGATGCATCGGCGATGCGGCGCGCTCCTCCGAAGCCATGTGCTCGGACCCCAGCTAGGAGGCCCAGAGTATGAAGCCACCCTTCCCCCTGGGCGCGGGCCTACATCCTCTTGCCGGGCAGCAGGCTGTCGCCGCCGCGCTGCGCGTCGCCGGCCAGCGAGCCGCGCAGCGCCAGCAGCACCGCCGCGCTGACCCACCAGCCTGCCCGCCGCGCAGGAAGCCCGGACCCCCCCGCGCCATGAGGGTCGTGAGAAGAAGCCAGGATCAGAACACCATGTGGGCGTTTTTACCTAACAGCTTTTGCTGATAGGTTTCTAGTGGTCTCAAAAGAGAACAGCAGATGACTCCACAGGGGGGTCGGGGCGGGACCCGGGGCGGTGCCGCCGAAGCCCAAATCGCTTGGGACATCCTCGCAAAATCGCTCTTGGCGCTGCTAGAACTCCATCCCCGGCGTACATTTTGGATGCCCGGAGCCAACTGTAAGCCACTTCGTGGTCTTCGAGTTCCCAGAACTCCATTCCCGGCGAACATTTTGGATGCCCGGAGCCAACTGTAGGCCACTTCGTGGTCTTCGAGTTCCCAGAACTCCATTCCCGGCGAACATTTTGGATGCCCGGAGCCAACTGTAGGCCACTTCGTGCTCTTCAAGTTCCCAGAACTCCATTCCTGGGCATGATTTTGAATGCCCGGAGCCAACTGTAGACCACTTCGTGTTCTTCTAGTTCCCAGAACTCCATTCCTGGGCCACATTTTGAATGCTGAGGCAGGCTGATGCTGCGGCCGAGGCAGGCTGAGGCTGAGGCAGGCTGAGGCTGAGGCCGAGGCTGAAGGCAGACTGAGGCTGAGGCTGAAGAAGACTGAGGCTGAGGCTGAGGCAGGCTGAGGCTGAGGCTGAGGCAGGCTGATGCTGAGGCAGGCTGAGGCTGAGGCTGAGGCTGATGCAGGCTGAGGCTGAGGCAGGCTGAGGCTGAGGCCGATGCTGAAGGCAGACTGAGGCTGAGGCTGAAGCAGGCTGAGGCTGAGGCTGAGGCAGGCTGAGGCTGAGGCAGGCTGAGGCTGAGGCTGAGGCAGGCTGAGGCTGAGGCTGTGACTGCGACTGCCGTTGCCGCTGCGACTGTCATCGCGAATGCGACTACGACTGCGAGAACAGCAGGATTTTCATCTGAATCTTAAGGGGAATGCTTTCAGATATGCTTCTGCACATCGCTGTTAGGTTGCTTTGCCGGGATAATTTTATTCGGCGTTTCGACATTGGGCGGAAAGGGGGGGGGGCGGGGGAGGACTGGCTCCGGACTTCTGCTGAGTGCGACTGTGTGCAAGAGTGCTGCCTCTGGGAGAGGCTCCACCCCTGCTCGAAGCAGGCGCCAAAAACAGCCAAGATCTGCTCCATGGGGAGGGGGCGTGCGAGGGCCCGCGCCGATCGGCAAAAGAATGAATAAAAAAACGCTCACCATCGGACTGGGATCCAGTGGGGATCTCTGAGATCCGGCGATCCTGGAGGATGTATCGGGTGCCGCGGCCGTTCCAGAGCGTTCCAGAACGCTCTGAGAGCGTTCCGGAACGACCTGGACTGGTTTATCCAGGCCCTGGCTCTGCCTGATCGCAGCGTTGCAGACTGCTGGGGGCCTCGGGGAGGCTTCTCGCAGCCACGGCCGGACCTGCCTCGAAGTTCTGGTCAGAACGCAGCCCAGGCCGCGGTCAAAGGGCCGACGTTTGCTCGGGAGCCCTGAGACCCCCGCGCCGTGAGCTCCTCACGACGGGAGGCACACTGCGCAATCTGTTGGCAAGTCGGGGGGCCTCGACGGGCCACGGAGCTGCCCCCAAAAAATAGCCCGGATGAAAGCTTGGGGAACAGGTCGGAACTTCTGGGGGCCGCGCGCCAGGGAGGGGGGTCCAGCGCCGATCCGAGAAATCCGCGCGGACCTCCGAGTTTGTTTATGTTTATGCCACTTTGTGTTCCCCATATATACATAGTCAAGCACATCGCATGTCTCGGTTGCCGGAATCCCGCTGCCGTGAGGACGCGATGCGGCCTGACAAGCGGGCCCTGGGGAAAGGGCGTCGACGCCTCTGGGGGTCCACGCTGTGAAAAAGCGCACGTCGCTGGAGGTCTGGGAGAGGAGGAGGAGGAGAAGGAGGAGGAGGAGGAGGAGGAGGAGAAGGAGGAGGAGGAGGAGGAGGAGAAGAAGAAGAAAGAAGGGGGGGAGGAGGAGGAGGAGGAAGGAGGAGGAGAGGAGGCGGAGGAGGAGGAGGTGAGGAGAGGGAGGAGGGAGGAGGGAGGATTGGGAGTAGGGCAGTGAGGGAGGAAGGCAAGGGAGAGAGGAGGGAGGAGGCAACGACGCGCCTCCGAGGGGCACGACGCCGAAGAGCGGGCGATAGTGGAGCAGCAGGGGGAGGGCTTCCTGACACAAGACTCTGCAGGCATCGGCCTGCACGGGGAGGGTTTACGAGAAGGAAGAAAGAGCAAGGACTCCTCCTCCTCCTCCTCCTGCTCCTCCTCCTCCCTCCTCCTCCCCCCTACTCCCCCCCACCCCCCCCCTCCTCCTCGCCCTCCTCCTCCTCCTCCTCCTCCTCCTCGCCCTCCTCCTCCTCCTCCTCCTCTTCCTCCTCCTTCTCTTCCTCCTCCTTTTCCTCCTCCTAGGAGCGCCCAGGCCACGGTAGGAGGACTACCAGCACGAGGTCGGGAATGAAACCACCCCTGCTCGCCACGGCGGCCGAGCATGCGGGTCTCGCGTGGCCACCGCCATTTGCAAGCACAAGGCGAAACGTCGCAACTGCCCTGGAGGTTATAGATATACCCCCGGCGTGGGCAAACAAGAGAACAGAAAGAGAGAGAGAGAGAGACATAAAAGATAGACAGAAAGTACATCGATGCATTACGGTGTCTATGTCTATGTATTTTATACATATAAATGTACATGTACATTATACAGAGAGGGGGGGGGGGGGAAGGTAGCAGGGATAACTGAAATAGCTCACTATGTAAAAAATAATGGGGGAGAAAGAGAGAGAGAGGGAGAGAGAGAGAGAGAGAGAGCGAGAGAGAGAGAGAGAACGAGGGAGAAAAAGAGAGAGAGAGAGAGACAAAAAAAAGAGAGCGAAGCGAGAGCGTAGGGAGCAGAGCGAGTAGAGGGAACATCTGGATTAGGTGGACAAGCCGGAGTAGGACTGCAGAGGGAGCAGAGGGTATGAAAAAGTAAGGGTAGAGAAATATCGTCGTCGGCGTCGTCGTTTTTTCGTCGTCGTCTTTTTCGTCGTCGTCGTCGTCGTCATTTTCGTCGTCGTCGTCGTCGTCGTCGTCGTCGTCGTCTCCTCCCTCATCCCTCCTGCCTCCTCCCTTCCCCCTCTTCCCTCCTCCCTCCTCCCTCCTCACTCCTCCCTCCTCCCTCCTCTGTCCGCCCTCCTTCCTCCAGAGCAGACGGAACTAATCATATTGGTAGTGCTAGAGCTGCTGCTAATGCTACTGGCAGAGCTAAACTATCCTGTGGCGTGCGCGTGAGATTTGCTACGCTGTGATACGATATTGTTTCTCCCAAGACGCACGATCCTGTCAGGTGAAAGACACCATAGACATGAGATGCCAACCGAGGTAGCAACGTCTGCTTACGTCAAACCGCCTCTTGCTTGTGGTATGAGCTCAGATTCTTGAGTCGGAACGAGTATGGCGTGGTACAATATATATATATATATATATAACATGTCAGTGTCTGCTGTGATATGTCGGGCTTGCCTATGCAACATCATGCTGTGCTGCGCTAAACGATGCTGGCATGCGCGTTGCCGGAGATTTTGTTTATAGTTGTGATGCTTTGGTGCGAAGCACGAAAACATGCTATGCAGTGCCAGTATGTCCAATGGTACTCAATTTTGCCATGGCGCTGGCGCTAAGCGAAACTATGACTTGAAGTGGAAATATATTATCATGCGCCATGACACATCATTGCGTCAATGAACAAGGGTGCCTTTATATATCCATGCCACTACCTGGGCAATCGCTACCACGGTGCCGTCGCACTCGCATGGAAGATGGTCCCCTCGAGATCGGCAGCCAGTCTTGAATATGCAAACGTGCGGGCAACCCGCTCGAAAACACAAGTTAGCAAGGTACTGGATATTGTAAATGCTCTCAGGCCCCGATTCCCGGCATTCCCGTGCGTTTGCCGGGCTTGGGTCGCGACGTTTCTCGACGCCTCGGGGGGGGGAGGGTCGCACTCCAAACCTGCCTAGCTTGCCTCCTGGAGCCCAATGGGGGACCTCTTCGAGATCACATCGGAAGCCCTGGGGGCCGGCCGACACACATGTGGCCGTCGCATTGCTTTTGCATGCTGGCAGTCCCGGTACTCTGATCTTCCACGACAGCTCACGACGCTCCCGAGAAGGCCCCAGGACGACCCCCAAGCCCTCCGGAGGGCGCCGACGGGCACCAGCGCCAACAGCCAAGGCCCAGGAAGAAACGCGCCAGGGCACGAGGCGCACACCGGCCGAAAACACATGAACGTGCCAGCCAGCTGCACGACTAAGGAGCAAGAGCCCAGCAAGCATTGCATCGGAAATACAAATGGCGGATTCCGGCAACCCTGAACCCAAAAACGTTTTCGTCTCTTGGGGGCACATGTTTTACTTCCGCCGCCTTCCGCCGAGCTTCCGCCGGCGGAGGCGGCATCGCTTTACTCCCGCCAACATTCCGCCGCCTTCCGCCGGGGAAGAGATGCCTCCTCCTTCTATCCTCGAAGGCAAGGCCCTTTCTGGAACGCCTCAAATGCACACGCAAGTCGGAAGAAGTGGGGGAAAACATGACGTAGGAAGGCGTCGGGAGTAGATTGGGCTTCCTCCAGCCCCCTGAAGCGGAGGGAAAGAAGGAAACCAGTCGATCCTTGAAGTAGGAAGGCGCCAAAAGCAGGCTGGGATCTGGGAGTTAAGAATACCTACTTTCAACGACTGGCGTGTATGGGAGACGGGGGAGGAAGATGGAATAATCAGAGGGGGACCGCCGAGCACCAGAGGGAGTCGCAGGTGCTCCGAGCGGGTGCCCCAGCAGCCCCACGGAACCACCAACGGCAAAACTGACCACATACGGTGGGGGGAATGGATAAGGAAGCCTTCGACAAGGAATCCAGGGTCTGGAAACCAGTGGAACTCCAATCGTGGATCGGCCATGGATATCACCGCCGCCCTCATCGGACAAGGAATCCCCCAGGGTC